TTTTTTAGATCAAATTCACTTCAATTTACAATATTACAATTTTTTATTTAGGTTCTCTATGTATTTGGGACATAATACACAGAAGAGTTAAATAATATGATGGTCTCTGATTAGCTACTACCTTTTGTGCTCATTTTGGAAACCATAAGTTAAAATGACAATATTCTCAAAGATCACTCGCTCGGTATTTCAAATCATTTTCCAATGAACTATCACTTAGTTAAAAATTTGTGTAGCATGATGTTTTATGTTCTTTTATGCTTGACAGTGTCTAAATGGAACACTTTTTTTTCTTCTATTTTGGCTTCTGTCCCATGGGGGATCCTGTAGAGATATATTGAAGAGGACTTCCTCGTTCAGTTATTTTTCACTCTGTTCTTATCATATATAGACAGAGTTTAGCTCTCAGTTTCAATTCAATAGCCATTCACTGAATGGCTACTGTGCAGATAGCTATGACTCAGGGTGCTGAGATAGTGAGACAAGGTTCCTGCTCACAGGGAACCCATTGAGTTATAGAATATCCCTCTTTGTACTTTTAAAGATTTTCCTTTATTCTTTCATACTTGAAATGCAGTTTTAAAGCGAACTGTAGGCAACATCCTAAGTACTTACGAACCTTGAAAAGATTAACGTTGTGGGTGTAGGGTTTGCTTAAAATATTCAGTTTAATGAAAATATCATTAGGCAGCTCAATTGTTTAGCAAATGAACTATTAAGGGAATTTGCAAATAAATAATTCATGTACTAATTTTGGCAGTCTCTAGATCTTGGGAATATGTTATCAGTTTTTGAATATATATTCATGTATGTCAGTTTTAAAATTCTAAACCATATTTCTTACACTTTCACTATGGTATGGCAATTATTACCTTCACCTAACACTGCAGAATGAAGTGTGCAATTTTTAAGGGACTTGCCCAGGTTCATATGGTTGATCAATAATAAGGCTTACATTAAAATTCGGGTGTTCTGCTTTTCAGAGCCTAGTTATTTTGTTTTGTTTTGTTTTGTTTTTTTAGTTAGTCACAGCTAGTAGTAATCATAAAAACAGTTCAAAGTATTATATGATTTGGTAAGTTGAATCAGTTGAAACACTACAGACCCTAAAATACTTAACATCAGGATTCAAAATCCAAAATATTTTAATAATATCATCATAGACGTATTTTAACGCACTTTACATACCACATGATATAATTCAGTCCCCGTCATAATCCAAAGATGGAAGTGAATCAGGAATTATTATTCACTGGCAGCCTGACATCATGCNGTAATCATAAAAACAGTTCAAAGTATTATATGATTTGGTAAGTTGAATCAGTTGAAACACTTCAGACCCTAAAATACTTAACATCAGGATTCCAAATCCAAAATATTTTAATAATATCATCATAGACATATTTTAAGGCACTTTACATACCACATGATATAATTCAGTCCCCATCATAATCCAAAGATGGAAGTGAATCAGGAATTATTATTCACTGGCAGCCTGACATCATGCTCATATCTAGAGCCAGGCCTTTTGATTCCAAGTCAGTGATTTTAGCTTTACTCCATGCAAATGGTTTAATAATGAAAGTTTTATTTTCATATGAATTGAGTAATTCAGTTTGACTTTGGCGATGTTATATAGTTTCCACAAAATTGTTCAGCCAAAAGTGAGTTAAATTCCTTTTGTCAGGATTCACTAAAAAGTGTAAGCTGTCTCTGAACAGTGGGACCTGTGTTAGGGGAAATGAAATTGAACACAGTGGGTGGGTAACATGTTTTACCCATATAGTGTCATGGCAGGAACTTGAGGTATTCCCTTTTGGTGGCCTCTTTTAAAAATAAAAATATAAGAAATATGTGATAAGCATATATATGTAATATACACATATTTTAATATATATGAGGAATCTTTAAAAGGTTCATGGAAAGATCTGTAATATCTTTTAATTCCATTTTCCATGCACTTTTTGAAATACCTTTGTATTTATTTTTACAAACAAGTTTATAAAAAATTATATACATGTACAAAAAATATATTATCATATTAATAATATGAAATTTATATATAAACAAATACATAATAGCTTTGAAGAGCAATTGAAATAGCATGAGTTCCTACTGTGAGAATAACAAATTTATGTTCCATTGTTTCCTCTGGCAACTGAACAAGTCATATATATTATGGCATGTATGTGACAGAGTATGAAATAGACATTTCTTAAAAAAGGTATGCTGTTTCCTAGTGGAGTCATGAGCACGGCCATAATGAGACCTGCCTCATTTTTCATGTTCGATAAAGATCAGTTTGAAAAATATTTACAGCTATATGTCTCCCAATGAAATTAGATTTAACAAAGAATAGTAGCAAAGGGACTCCGATCATGTAGGTATTTGTTGAGTTTGTAGGGGGATGACTTTTTGTAGATATTCGAAATCATGAAAATTTAGAATTTTTCCAAATGTCATATATTTTATAACTGTCTGCTCCTCTCATAAAGCATATAGGGAAGGAGCAGGTAATTTTTAAATATATGGCATCTGGGATCCCCTTCTTGTTCAGTAGTCAATGTGTACGATGAATTTTAAGCTTTGATATCCTAACACTTCCCCCAACCCATCAACTGTGAGTAAGTTTTTTCAATTTAATTTTTCTTGTAGATTAATATGCAGTTGTAAGGAATAACACAGAGAGATCTCATGTACCCTTTGTCCAAGAAAGAGTTTGAAAAGCTGTAAAACAGGTCGCAGATTGGAAATTGACATTGATGTAGTCCAACAATCATTTTCCTTTCACTAGTTTTTTTTTTTTTTTTTTCTGACCAGTAAGGGGGTCATAACCCTCGACATTCCTTTCACTAGTTTTACATGTACTCATTTATGTGTGTATATGTATGTGTGTGCATGTACATATGTGTACAAATGTGTGAATGTGTTATGTTCCAGACAATGTTATTACATGTGTGGTTTCATGTATCCATCACCACGGTCAAGATACAAAAGAGTTCCATCACCACAAGGATCCCTTGTGCTGCCTTGTCAGAATCACACGGAGTCCCTCCTCTCCCCTCCACTCCCTACTATCCCTAACCCTTGGAAACTACTACTCTGTGTCCATCTCTATAGTTTTGTGATTTCAAAATGTTATATAAATGGATTTGATCTTAATTTATTGATAGAATTCTTTAAAAAACAATTCCAAGAGCAATAGGAAGTTATTAGAAGTTTTTAGACAGGGGAGTAACATTATATTATTTATTTATTTAGATTTATTTTATGTATTGAACTGAAATTTATTATACATATTTTTGGGGTTCAACATTGATATATGCTGATCAAATCAATATTACCAGCATATATATTGTTACAAATTGTAATTATTCCTTATGTTCCTTGTCCACTAACTCCCCATCCCCCTCTCCCATCCTCCTCCCTCCTCTAATTACCCTAGATTTCTTTTCTCTTTCTGAAAGAATAATGGTTATTCTGTTGATTTGTTGCCTAGATGATCTGTCCAATGCTGAGAGGTGTGATCAGGTCCCCTAATATTATCATACAGCAGATGCTTCATCTGTCACTCTGAAATGAGCTTTGTGGAGAGAGACATCCTCTTCTTTTCTTTATCTCTGCTGGTGATTCTCCTTGTGTCAATGCACTCCAGTGTTCGGTGGACCATCTGTGTGCTGGTTGTGGTGTCTAGCTGCTTTTGCAGCAGCCGTGATTATTGTGGTGGCTGTAGTGGGCCACCCACATGGAGGTGATGTTTTTGGCATGCTCCTTGGTGCTGGTGGTGTGCCTGATTGTGGGGTGTGTCTGGTCCCTGGCTCCATGCTATGGGTCACTGGGCGGGCCCAGAGGTGCAGGTGTGGTGAGCCTGGATGTGGGAGAGGTGTCCAATCCCCTTCTCAAGGCCTCAGGACCCTGGGAGGGCCCTGAGGCACTGGCACAGTGTCCCTGGTTGTGGGAGGGGGGTCCGGCTCCATGCCCCAGGCCCCAGGGCATGGCCCTGAGGTGCTGGCAGTGTGCCTGGATGTGGAAATGGGGTTAGGTCACCTTCTCAATGCCTTAGGTCCCCAGGCAGGCCCCAAGGTGCTGGCGCAGTGTCCCTCCTCTTTCTACCTTTCAGGGTACTCCTTCAGTTGCTTCTTTCTCAGTCCCAAATTTTATAGCTGTACTTAGTGAAGCACAAAATGACATAATGATAGTTAAACTTTTTAATGATTTTTTCCTAAAATGAGTCAAGAAGAGCATAATTCACCAAGATGCAAAGAGGGCTTCTGTGAAAACAAGTGTTCTGTGATAGGAAAAGTAATTTGAACCAAAGAACATATTAACATACAGTACAGCAGAAGCACCGGCCAATCAGGGCAAATTTAAACATCAGGTAGCTTACAGGTGCTTTTCAGCTGAATATCAGCTCAGGTTTAAATGAAGGCCTGCAACAATCATAGTTTCTTAGATTTATCTGTGTGTAGAAGTGAACCCATTCTGTTTACAGTTTTTCTTGGCACTGGCATTCCATGAAAAACTTTGTAGAGGAAAGCCATATTTATCACCATCAACATCTACCTCATCCAAAGTATTGTACTAGATGCAATCATTTAATTAAAAAGTTATTTCTGAGGACATTGAAGAGCACCTAATTCTACTTTGATTTAAGAAAATCTGATAAAACATTTCAATATTTTAACTTCCTTTAAACTGTTTCAGGAAATAAGATTTAGATGTACAGTCAAAGAAAATGTTTATTGTACTTCTATTGTGTTAAAAATGTGTCGTCTAACAGTACTGACTGTTTCTAATGTTATTCACATTTTCAATATCTTCTCTTTCCAGCTTTGAGGGACAATAGGATCGAGCTGGTTCGCGCTTCCTGGCATGAACTGAGTATCAGCGTCAGTGATGTGTCTCTCTCGGATGAAGGACAGTACACCTGTTCTTTATTTACAATGCCTGTCAAAACTTCCAAGGCCTATCTCACTGTTCTGGGTAAGTACCAGGGACTGGCAACATATATAATCACAGAACCAGAAATGCGTACTGCTACAGCAACTTGATTCAGTAAAAAGATATATTTTGAACATTATATTAAGACGTATGGTTTAATCCCTTCCCTGCTGCATTATAACAAAAGGCATTTAAAAATCATTTAGTCACCTTCCACATTTTAGAAATGGACAGAGGGAGGTACAAAGATTTATGTGACTGCCGGAAGGCACACGGCCATTTTGTTTCTTAGCCAGAAATAGACTCTAGCTCTCTTGATTCCCAATTAAATTTCTTTGAACTAAATCATCTATATAATGTGTATGTTCTAATCCTTTTAAAAAGTGACAGAATAATGAGCATAATGAGTTCAACTTGTGCCCTAAAGTGTGCTTCTTCATTTTATCACGAGTCACCTTATGGGGGCCTTTCCTAATAACTTGTGGCTTTCAAATATGACCCCTTTGTGTATTTTAGTGCATTTAAATGACCCTGACATTTTCATGTGTGGTCTCTTTTTAAATTTATATTTTCGAGATTCCTAAATGAAGTACATAATGTCACTTGTGCATGCAGCTTGTAGCTTCTTTGTGCTTTTTATTCTCTAAATATTGGGCCCTTTTCCCAGAGGTTAAAGTGACACCAAAAAGCAATACATTCATAGAGATTCTGAGGAAATAAAGTTGCTGCTCAGAGCTCTCTGCGATTCCACAGACGTCAGTGCCCCAATCAGCTGAAATTGCTGCAGTTCACTGAAACACACCTGTGTACTGAACAAGTTCGAGGAATCAGGGAATTTAAAGATTGATTTTTTTTTTTTTTTTGCTCTAGCTTGCCTTCCTTTTTTAGATAAAGGCACAATGTTGCATTTAACAGGGCTAGCACACGCTGTTCTTTTGGGTGGGAATATTAAAGTTAATCCAGCTAGTGAATTGGTTTTGTGCATAGGATATGAAATATGGTTCTTTGCAAGTCCCACTGGGACTATTTCATAAAAATCTTCACAAGTTTGCCATTACAGACAAAATATACCCACTAAAATGGAGTATTTCAGGATAACAACTGCCTAAGGCTAACGTATTGTTCTGTAGAGAGCCACCTTGAGACCCAGATAATAGATGACTGCTGAATTCATTTTATTAAAAGGTGGTGTGACACAGATTTTAAAAAGTAAGAAAAAAGGTAAGATGAAGGTGAAGACAAAAAAATAAACAGGACAATGAGCCAGTTCATAGAAGTATGTTAATATGTTATTTATCTTAGCTGTTCTTGTTGTTTTAATTTGTATTTCTCATTAGTATTTTACAACATTCTAACACTATTTTTCTCAAACTGAATTAAATAGTGCAATAAGGAAGATTCCAGTCTGCTTTACTACTGAATAATTTTAGAAGAAATTTTAATAAACATTTACCGGGATAAGTGAATATTATTTCCCAGGAGATATGTAATATTCTGCTATTTAAATCACCCATGT